ATGATTTCACACAGTAGATACGTATGATATGGGATTGAGATTTTCCTGTAAAGACAGAATATAAACATCTATGTCACACATGTAATGTTTAAGTGTAAGAAACTTAGCACCCCTCTCTGGCCCTAAAATCCAGGGGTAAAAAAAAAAAGTTTATCTGAAGAGACATAGTCATAACAAGGGTTCTAATAAACATCAAAACAAAGGCAACAAAATAAAAAATAAACAAGTACAATTACATCAAACAAAAAGCTTCTGTAAAGCAAGGGAAATCAGCCACAAAATGAAAAAGGAAATCTAAAGAGGAAAGTATTTGCAAATCATCTAAGGGGTTAATATCCAAAATATATAAAGAATTCATATACCTCAATGGCAAAAACTACAGTCTGATTTTAAACATCTGCCTAAGATGATACACCGATGGCCAACAGGTACATAAAAAGGTACTTAAGATCACTAATCATCAGGGAAATGCAAAATAAAATCACGATTTTCCCCCTGAGGAAGATCGCCTCACACTTGTTAGATAGGCTATTACCAAAACAATAAGAAATGGTAAGTATTGGAGAGGATGTGGAAAAAAACAGAATCTTCAATGAACTGTTGGTGGGATTGTACACTGGTACAGCCACTATGGAAAACAATATATAGAGGTTTCTCAAAAAATTAAAAACAGAACTACCATAGGATCCAGCAATCCCAAGTGTGTGTGTGTGTGTGTGTGTGTGTGTGTGTGTGTGTTTACACAAAGGAAATAAAACCAGCATACTGAAAAGACATCTGTGCTTCTATGTCCACGGCAGCACTATTCACAATAGCTAAGATGTGGAAACAACCTAAGTGAATCGACAGAATAAGGAGTATTATTCAGCCCTGAGAAACGACATCGTGCCATCGGTGACAACATGGGTGAAACTTGAAAGCATTACACTAAGTGAAAGTCAGACTGAGAAAGACAGATACTCTATGATATCACTTATATGTAGAATCTTAAAAAGCTGAACTCCTAGAAACAGAGACTAGAATGGCAGCTACCAGGTGCTGGAGAGTGGGGGGAAAGGGAGGAGATGCTGGTCAAACACGATAAACAGTCACTTATAAGAGGAGTAAGTGGAATGCAATGGAAAGCAATTATATATGGCAATTATGATTAATATTATGATACTGTGTATTTCAAAGTTATTAAGAGTCGATCTTAAATGTTTTCACCAAAAAAGAAAGGGTAATTATGTAACGTGATGGAGATGATAGCTAATACTATGGGAGTAATCATTCGTAATATACAAGTGTGTCAAATCAATACAATGTACATCTTAAACTTATACAATGGTATATGCATGTCAATTATGTTAATAGAGCTTAAAAGAAAGATTTCTACAGTGCCTGGTGGCTCAGCTGGTCTTCAGCTCAGGATATGATCCCAGAGTCCCAGGACTGAGTCCTGCTCATCAGGCTCCCAACTCCATGGGGAGTCTACTTCTCCCTCTGACCTTCTCCCCTCTCATGCTTTCTCATGCTCTCTCTCAAATAAATTTAAAAAATCTTAAAAAAAGAAAGAAAGAATATTTCTAATAAAATCAAAATGGTTCATAAGTTAGTAACACTATGGCAGTCTGCATTAATATCAAGACAATGATAAATATTTACATATCAGGCAAAAACAATACAAGGTAGCCAAAAATTTAGGCAGCCAAAAAAATGTTCCTTAATCTATAGATGCCCAGATTTCCATAAAAGACTAATTTTCCCATACTACCTGGACAGAATCTAGAGGATTTCTATTATTTCAAACACATTTTCAAATTTTAATTTTACCCCAAAATCCACTGGCATCCATCTCTTAAAGAATTTATGTTAAGTAACTGGTTTGCCTGAATAGTTCACATTTCAACTTATTTTAGAGGTGTCAAGACACAATCTAAGTCTAACAGAAAAAAATCTGCAGGCTTCAAACTGCCCTCCAAAATATACAACGAAGGAGAGTCAAGGAGGACAGTTCTGAGATAAAGCTGAGAAGAGGGAGAGAGAACTCTACTGGAGACCTTATCGACAATGCACTCAGCTGTATTATCAGTGACCTGTAACCTCTTCTCCAGCGGGCCAGCAAGCCCTGAGTACTCTGGGACTAAGAGGTGTTTTAAAAAGTTCTTGTGTCATATTTACTCTTTCCTACGACTCTTATCAGAAGCCTGACATATTCAAGTTCCAGAATCCACAGGCTCTGATGACCCACCTGAAGACATAGCCAAGAGGAATAATGAGAACCATAAAATGCCACCATCATAAAACAGAAATAATAACAATCAGGATTTTAAATGGACCAGCTCTTTTTTTTTTTTTTTTGATTGAAGTATTGTTGACCGACAATATCATCTTAGTTTTAGGTGTACAACGTAGTAATTCGCCAGCTATCTACATTATGGAATGCTCGCCATGATAAGTGTATCTGTCGCCATATACATTTATCACAGCCCTACTGACTAAATTCCCTATGCTCTATTTTCATTCCCATGATTTATTTACTTTATAACCAGAAGTCTGTACCTGTTAATCCCCTTCATATTTTTCACCAGTCCCCTACCCTCCTCCCCTCTGGTGATCACCAAAATTTGTTCTCTGTATTTTCAAATCTGTTTCTGTTGGTTTTATTTTGTTTAGTTGGTTGTTTGCCAGTTTTTTTCATTCCATATATAAGTAAAGTCATGGTATTTGTCTTTGACTTGTTTTTCAGATTCCAAATATGAGTAAAATCATGGTATTTGTCTTTCTCTGTCTGACTTACTACACTTAGCAGAATATCCATCTACTAGGTCCATCCATGTTGTCATGAATGGCAGGATTTCATTCTTCCTTTACTGCAAAGTAATATCCCATTACGTATATATAGCACATCTTCTTTACCCATTCATCTATCAATGGACACATAGGGTGCTTCTTGGCTATTGTAAATAATGCTGCAATAAACATAAGAGCACATATATCTTTTCGAACTAGTGTTTTCATTTTTGTTGGGTAGATAAACAGGAATGGACCAGTTCATTTTTAAAGGCATAACCAGAGGTAAATAGCATCAACACTGTGTTTTTGATAACTATAAAAAGAATAAAACAGGTTTTTTAAAAAATACCATTCCTTAATAAATATATAATAAATCTCTAACTTTCAAAATGAGTCGTATTACAAGGGCGCCTGGGTGCCTCAGCCAGTTAAGCATCTGACTCTTCATTTCAGCTCAGGTCATGATCTCAGGGCCCTGAGATCAGGCCCCACATCTGGCTCCCTGCTCAGTAGGGAATCTGCTTGACGATTCTCTCTCTCCCTCCCTTTCGCTGCCCCTCCCCCTACTCATGCTTGTTCACTCTCCCCTAAAATAAGTAAATCTTAAAAAAAAAAAAAAAAGGAAAATGAGTTGTATCACAAAAGGCCATTCCTTCATGAAGATACATTTCCCCATAAAGTACTATAAGTGGTGGTTTATTTCCAAAGCTGGCCCAATAACCTATTTAACCCATAATGTACTGACACAGTACATTAAGACAAATAAAGACATAAATACCATCTCATGATATTTATGACAAATACCATTTTATTCAGAGTGCTGAATGAAATGTGGTAAAGGGACTGACAATGCTTCAAATGCATTAGTATTTCAACTGAAAGGATGGGAGCTGGGCAAAAAAAGGACTCCAAAAAATGGACTTCACAAGTTCCACATAAACCAAAAAGTTCACAGAAGTGAACATATGGGTGATTTTCTTATGAGAGGATCCACATCTTGTCAAAGTGGTTGTCTCTAACCCCACCGAAAGGGGTTTCAATAAAGGGAAAAAATTCCCATGCTGTATAAAGCCAAACTCTTCCCTGCATAGCCCTCAGATAGAGCTTATAGGAGAAATGAGGCATTTTGCGAAGTTATGGTCCACACATGTTTACACATATGATACATGCATTGAGGCAAAGCTATCAAAAACCTTCCAGAAAAACGAAGTGAAGGAAATTCTGAAGTAAAGAACACATTTTAACATTTTACAGGGTCAGAACTGCCCACAGAAGATGACACAGGAAGTTCACATGAAGTGGAATGAGGATGATGGTCCCAACGGTGCCCACTGCAGACTTTCATGAATCAGTAAGCAAACACTCCACACTTTATTATCTGTACAAAACCCCTTGTTCCCCAACCAAGCCAAATCACACAAGCAAAACTTGGCTACCATGATCTTTTAAAAAAAAAGAAAAGAAAAGAAAAGAAAAAAAAAGAAAAAAAAGAAAAGAAAAGAAAAGAAATCAATCCAGGGCACCTGGGTGGCTCAGTCAGCTAAGTGTCTGCCTTCAGCTCAGGTCATGATCCCAGGGTCCTGGGATCGAGCCCCGTGTTAGGCTCCCTGCTCAGCAGGGAGTCTGCTTCTCCTCCTCCCTATGCCTCTGAACCTCCCCTGCTCATGCTCTCTCTCTCCTTCTCTTTCTCTCTCAAATAAATAAAATCTTTAAAAAGAAAGAAAGAAAGAGAGAAAGAAAGAAAAGATCCATCTTTTACCTACACACAATTCAAATAAACAAAAATGTGTATTTAAAAACCCAAGCCTGTCATATGAATGACTATACCTATTCTATTAATTTTTCACAAGAAAATCTGGACAACAACCTCTTTTTATATAATTTTAAACAGGACTTTCAACTTTACCTAAAAGTTTCTATAAACTGGTATGACAAAGTTCAGACACTGTCCTTAACTGAGCAAAGTTTATTGTTTTCGGCTTTTTGTTAAAATAGATTTGAGTTGCACAGACTATCAAGCTATTCTCAGAAACAGTGGGATTTCAGATTCATACCTACTTAAAATATTCATGTTGGCTTACCTCTTCCTCCCAAACCAGGAGTCCACAGCTAAGTCATTAAGGTCCTTCCTCTCTCTTACCTCTCTCAAAACACTAGGATACCTCCTAACACAGTAGCAACTAGTTTTTGATATGAAGGTTTTTCACAAGGCAGTGACCACTTACCCCTCCTGCCTTCAGCAACTTTCTTCTAAACTCCTCTGTGGGGTTGTTGAAAGTGAGCTTTTCACAGCGGAGGTGATTCACTGGTGGATGGCCTTCAAGATGCAGGAATAAGTCATAATCAAAGCGGACTTTCTTAGGTTCTTCCTAGAGATTTAAAAAAAAAATGAGAAAGAAAAGAGAAGAATTAAGCACATACAAATTTTGAAAGCAAAGTTTTATTCTTCAGAAGAAACAGAAAAGACCCAGGTATCCAACAGCTATTGTGTCAAAGACCTGGAAAAAGAAAATTATCATGGGATTATGTACAAAGCAAAAGGCAGATACCTAATGAATCAGTGTCTTGTTTCGTGAGAGAATCAACTCATCATTTTTTCTGTAATATCTCAAGTGGTGCAATACCACCAACACAGCCACCCAACCAGAAACCTAAGATACTCCTGAAGCCACTTCCTCCCTTTCCCGCTCCACCCCCTCCACCCATTAGCAACAACTGTCATTTTCTCTCCTAAATATTTCTCGAACAAACCCTCTAACCCATAATTCTTCTCACTGCCCAAACTATAATAAGCTCCTTTCTCTAGCAGGTCTTCCTACTTTAGGACAGATTCATCTTCAATTCCTCCTTCATCCAGGCCTCAAAATTATCCACATGGAACAAAAATCTAGCCATTCCACAGCTTGATTAAAACTTAAAAAGCTGGGGCGCCTGGGTGGCTCAGTAGATAAGCGTCTGCCTTCAGCTCAGGTCCTGGGATCGAGCCCCACTTCGGGCTCCCTCCTTTGCAGCAAGCCTGCTTCTCCCATTCCCACTCCCCTCTGCTTGTGCTCCCTCTCTCACTGTGTCTCTCTCTGTCAAATAAATAAACAGAATCTTAAAACAAACAAACAAACAACAACAACAACAAAAAAACACTTCAAAAGCTGCCAACTGCCATTAGGATAAAAATCAAAGCTCACCTGAAGGCCTCCTAAGAAAGGCTTTCAGAACCTGGCTCTCGGCTCTTCATCCCGCCACACGGCATCTACCCATCTCCTGGTCCAGCAAACACATGCTGTTGGGTATTCCCAGCATCCCTTATGTTTTAGGCTAGCTCTGAGTTTCACCCTTGCTTCGTGTTACCACCCTCATTGCCCGCCTCCATTCCTCCACCTTTTTGTCACTTGGACAACTTGTACTCCTCCTTCTCCACTCAGGTTTCACTCTGGGGACGGATTCCTAGAACTCCACTCCCAATTTCCCACTGCTTCGCCTCTGCCCTGTGAGCATCTCTCTCCTCCTTGCCACATCTTAGGGTAACCATCCTATCTTTCCCTTTATCCTGCTTAATCATGAGAGACTGTGGACTCTGAGAAACAAAGTGAGGGTTTGGGAGGGGATGGGGTGGGGGGTTGGGTGAGCCTGGTGGTGGGTATTAAGGAGGGCACATATTGCATGGAGCACTGGGTGTGGTGCATAAACAATGAATTTTGGAACAGACACAAATTAAATTAAAAAATGATGTATTGTATGGTGACTAACATAACACAGTAAAATAAAGAAATAAGAAAAGAAGCAAGAAAATTTAAAAAAAAGACAACACAAAAACTTTGACATTGTCATCAGTTTTCTCAAAGAGGCTTTCAGTTTTTTGACACTTAAACTGTTTTCTTTTGAAAGCTTATTTTGCTTTAACCCTGATTTTCTGTGCCTCAGTTGCTAACCAGTTTAATTACAAATGTATTATGTAATATTTGAATGTTTCCCCAGTTTCATGTTCAATGGCTTCATTAAACTTGTCTTTAAAAAAAAAAAATCTTGAAAGTAGGAGCAATGGCTGAATCATCCTTGCACTCTTGGCAATTAGTTTAGCACCTGTGCATAGCCGAAATGCAATAAACATCTGTGAAATGAACCAGGAGGAGGAAACAGTATCAGATCCACAAGAAGGCAATCATCAGAATTTCATGATACTCAAGTTCTACTCTCGAGCCACTACTGTAGTTAGCTAAACACTTAAACCTCCATACACACGGATTCTTAAGCACCCCAGGTGCGATGAAGACTAAGAATAATGACAGTGACTAATACGAATGTTAACAGTTATCTCATCTAATTCTCATGGCTCGCCTCTAGGTCAACTGTGAGCCCCGTTTCACAGGTATGGAAATTAAAGCACCGGAATTTGTTGCATTACTTTATATAAAAACGCCTTCTGTGTTACAAATATTAACCATCTCTGTGAAGGATTACCATTTTCTTTGTCATTAGCTTTGCCATTTTGTTTACTTTTAACAGCTTTATTGAGAAATAATTCACGGACCATAAACTCTATCCTTAAAAGTATACAATTTAGTGGTTTTTAGTATATTCACAGAATTATGAGACCATCACCACCACCTAATTTTAGATTTACATTCTCATCATTCCAGAAATAAAACTCAAATACATCAAGAGTCACTCCCCATTCCCCCAGATCCTAGATCACTTCCTACCACTAATCTACTTCATTTTCCCTAAAGTTGCCTGTTCTGCAGACTTGGCATTTCATACAAATATATGAACATACACAATATGTAATCCTTTGGGACTGTCTTCTTTCACTTGGCATGATGTTTCCAGGGTTCATACATGTTGTCATATGTCAGTAGTCAGTTCCTTTTTACGGCTGAATAATATTCCACTGTATGAGGTATCCCAGTTACTGTTTATCCACTTCTCGGATAGACATGTGTATTTTTTTCTTTTTAGCCACTGCAAATAGTGCTGGTATGAACATCTGTGTTTAAGTTTTTATGTAGACATGTATTTTCATTTCTCTTGAGTAAACACCTAAGGGTAGAACCTCTGAGTCATAAGGTAACTCCATGTTTCAACATTTTTTACAAACTGCCTTACTCGTTTCCAGAGTGGCTGCACCATTTTAAAATCTCAATAGCAATGTATGAGGTAGTTCTGTTTTTTAATAGAGAACATATTCAAATTTTACAGTTAAATAAAGCAATGTTTTTCTTTAAAAAAGAAAAATTTGTGGGGCACCTGGTGGCTCAGAGGGTTAAGCATCTGTCTCTTCATTCCGGCTCAGCTCATAATGTCAGGATCCTGAGACAGAGCCCCACGACGCACTCTGCGCTGGCTGTGAAGCCTGCCTGGCATTCTCTCTCTCCCTGGGCCCCTCCCTCCCCAATGCACTCTAAAAAAATCTTTCTTTATTTAAAAAAAGGATTTGTTATATTACTATTGTGATGAAACAAAGTGATTTGAACCTACTTCTTTTGACTCAAAAATTTAGCACCTGAAACTGTCAAAATGTAAGCACTACATGCTACAAATTCAGTTTCTACCTCCTTGTTCACACCTCCCCAAATCAGTCTCCACTCATTCGCTCCCTAGCAAGCAGCCCTGAAACCTGGTCTTTCCCTCTTTCATCAGGATACCCCTCTCTCTTAGTTTTCCTCACACTTAACTGGCATTCCTTCCCAGTCTTCTTTTCAGGCTTCCCATCTCTAGTCACTGACCCTTAGACATCCTTTAACTACAGGCAAGTTCCCCAAGGAGCTGACACACATTCACAGGATGTCACTTCTTCCTATAGGACAATGACTCCCTTATCCATACCTCCAGCCCAGCTCCCACCTGACGGCCAGATACTCATGTTGCACCGTCTGCCCACATCTCCACTGAGTTGACCCACAGCAACAGCAAAGTCACGGATTATCTTAACCTAAGCTTATCTTTATCTGTCCTTTCTCCTACTCGCTACATCTTGGCAAACAGAAGTCCTAATTTCTTATCGAAGTTAAAATACAAAAAAAACATTCCCAGCTCTTCCTCCCACTTCGCTCATCAAACTCAAATAGTCTCCCAATTTCTACTCAGAATTCCCCCTTAGGAACTCTCAAATTCAGCTCCTTTGTCCAGTCACCATACCTTTGCCTTAGCTTAGACCTTCATCATTCCTCACCTGGTCACCTCCCCTATGTCTGAACCCACCCCATTCTACCTCCCACAGTGACAAGGCAGTGATCTTCCCAGTAGAAAAATCAGATTAGATCCTTTCATTGATATAAATGCCTTTAATGACTCATCATTTTCCAAAGGATAAAATCCCACTTTCTCGGAATAACCATCTTCCTTTAATACCTTCCCTGCATTCCCTTTGTTTTCTCACGACACCCTGTGCTTCTGTAATTGTGTTGCACTTGTGGTTCCCAATACTTCACATTATCTCATTCATTTTGCCTTTCACATGTACTGCTCCCCACGCCTACACTCTATTCCCTCCCAACACACCTCTCCTGCCTTGCTTGCTGAATGCACTCATTATTCAAAACACAGCTAAAGCATGAAATCCACTGAAGTCTTCCTAATACTTCCAATCCAATTTGTATTAGACATCCCTCTTAGAGCATTCCTTTATTAATGTAATTATCACATTGAATTATGATTTTTTATTTACCTGTCTCTCCTCTAAACTGTAAAACAGTCAACACAACCTAAGAATTTAATTAAAAACACAAGAAGGACTGCTTTCTGCCTTATAATTGGGACTGTAAATTTGTAGAGCCTTCTGGGAAGACAATTTGGCAGTCAACATTCTAACCCAGTAATTCTAAGAATCTCTTCTACAGAAATAGTCAAATATGTGTGCAAAGACAGATACAGATGATAAAATGTTTGTGGTAGCATTGTTTGTAATGGCAGAAAAAAAAAATGAAATGATCTTCAAGTGAGTATATCATATCACTGAATACCAATCAGATGCTTAAAAATACAAATTTGGAAATACTGCCAAGTGGAGTAAAGGTAAGTCACAGATATATAAAATATATCATATTTTAATATTATGCCCCTGCCAATCTCTACTTGACATAGATTTTATCTGTACAAGTGCATGGGGGTTAATCAGGAAAGGCTGTACCAAACAGTTAATAATGACTAAATGGAGTAAAAAAATATACTCCTGCAGGGGCACCTGCGTGGCTCAGTCAGTTAAGTGTCTTCCTTCAGCTCAGGTTTGATCTTGGGGATACCAAGATCAAGCCCCGTGTCTGGCTCTGTGCTCGGTGGGGAGTCTGCTTCTCCCTCTCACTCTCCCTCTGTGCTCTCTCTCTGTCTCCCAAATAAATAAAATCTTTAAAATATATATACTCCTGCATACTTTTTTAAAAATAAAAATGTATTGATGTATATAAACCATTACCAGCAGGAGAAGAATGAATAACAATATCACTTCACAACACTTAAATATATATTTAAAAAAAGAAAAAACACGTTTCCATAAAACTAAGGGTAAGGACCACAGAGAATGACTATCTTTCTATGAATCCTGAGTGCAATTTTCTTTTAAAGATTTTTCTTCTGAGTAAGGAAAGCATACTCACAAATCTTGTTTTCTAGCCAAATGATCTCCTTCTTGGAGGGCAGACTTCAATATTATATCAATCTATGCTCCTTAGGAAAGAGTCTTCTCAAATTGCAAACAAGAAAGTATGCTTCTATTCTATATATGCAGCTAATACATTTCCGCCTCGAGGTGGAAATCTGTTTTGGCAATATCAAATTGTCCCTCTCATTCCGCTTCAGTCCTTGACATTTACTCAGGTACGTTCTCTAAGGACAGAATGAAAGAGACAAGCAGGGTATCCTTTCAACCTAAAATGCTACAGTCAAGTACGTTTCAGTGGGCCTACTGGTTTAAAATTTCTGCAACACTCATCATTCTCATAGAGAAGCTTGTTCTGTTGAACACAAATGCAAAACAAGATAGAATAAACATACAAGAATGGGAAAGCAGCACTGACAGACACTCTACCTCCCCTTTTGGGGTAATGACTCTGACCTCTCAAATAAATGAGCAAAACTGAAAACAGGCTTATTTAGAAGCAGAGAAAGCAGAAGGATGGAGATGGACGCGAGGACAGGATGATATCATCCTTAATATATGGTAGTAGGACTCTCCTCAAGATCACATGGAAGTCTTTCTGCGGCTTTCTCTCAAATCTTCTCTGAAAACTCTGAAGAATACTTTTCATAAACCATTACTGTAACGGATGTTCATTCTTTGAGACACAGCTGAAGCAACTCCAGGGGTGAATAAAATAATAAAGACTCAAAAGAAATAAAATGTACATTCTGGAGGAAGAGCCCAGACTCCTAAATTTTACCCACACATCATTTCAGTAAGAAGAGAAATGTATCTGGCTCAGAGAATACAGCAAAACTTTGGTTTGTTAAAAAAACAACAACAACAGGGCGCCTGGGTGGCTCAGTGGGTTAAAGCCTCTGCCTTCAGCTCAGGTCATGGTCCCAGATCCCTGGGATCGAGCCTCGCATCGGGCTCTCTGCTCCGCAGGGAGCCTGCTTTCTCCTCTCTCTCTGCCTGCCTCTCTGCCTACTTATGATCTCTGTCTGTCAAGTAAATAAATAAAATCTTTAAAAAAACAACAACAATAAAATAAAATAACTCCAAGATAAATGAAAAGAGATAACAAAGCAATAAATTCTAATTTAAAAATTAGTAACATGCAGAAAAGAACTTTAAATCCTCCACCCATGTACCCTCCACTGAGATTAAGCAAATGTTAACATTTTCACTGTGTTTACCTTTTCCTTGAAGGATACAATTTTATTTTATTTTTTAAAGATTTTATTTGAGAGGGGCACCTGGGTGGCTCAGTGGGTTAAAGCCTCTGCCTTCAGCTCAGGTCATGATCCCAGGGTCCCGGGATCGAGCCCCGCATCGGGCTCTCCACTCAGCCAGGAGCCTGCTTCCTCCTCTCTCTCTCTCTCTGCCTGCCTCTCTGCCTACTTGTGATCTCTGTCAAATAAATAAATAAAAATCTTAAATTTAAAAAAAAAAGATTTTATTTGAAAAAGAGAGCACGGGAGAGAGAAAGCACAAGCAGGGGGAGAGCCAGAGGGAGAGTGAGAAGCAAGCTCCCTGATGAGAATCTGATGCGGGGGCTCCATCCCAGGACCCAGGGATCATGACCTGAGCTGAAGGCAGACCTTTAACTGTCTGGGCCACCCAGGAGCCCCTAAAGAATACAATTTTATAAATATAAGCTGCTTTACGGCTCCTCCCCAGTAACCAATGCTACTTAGTTCCCGTGCTGCCATTTCAATTCACACTCTTGTGCTACGTATGTGTATTTCTAGAACATTATTTATTCTCAGTTTCAGTGGCTTATAAAAACATATAAAAATGGCATCATAACCATATACTTACACTTCTGTAACTTTCAAGTTGTCATGATTCTTGTTTCTGAGACTTATCCATGATGCTACATTAACTGCTATACAGCATTTTGTGTATTCCTAACCCACCATTTAGGGATCCACATCTCTATATAGGATCAATTAGGTATAGCCCACTTTTTCATATCATAAACACTGAAATATAGATGTCTCATTGTATACCTATAAAAATAGCAATTGTTATTAAGTATAAAATCTTAAAGACAATCTAAACCCAGAAAACTGAAGTAAGTTAATATGGATGCTAAACAGAAAATCTATTCAACGGTATTCAGCTCAAGTGTCTATTTCATAATGGCCCCAAAGAAATGACTGCTTTCCATCTCATGTGCCTCCTTCTTCCTTCATTTTTTAGTAAACTACAATTCCTCACAAACTGAGTCAGTAAGATGAATCATAGGCATGACTACAAAGTGCCGAGAAGACTGAACCCGTGTGTGTGTGTGTGTGTGTGTGTGTGTACACGTACATTATGTGTGGTGTTAGGAGATTCTGGTGATTTCTGTAAAAAAGGAAATTGGGTAATTCAGAAAATAAAACTTTTTGTTGAAAAGATAGCCTGTAAAAAAGACCAGAAAAGGTGAAAAAAAAAAAAAGGAGAGAAGATACGTCACTACAGCATTATTTCCAAACTGAAGCCAATGCAATGTTCAATTGACTTAAGGAGACGGGAATAGAACTGTACAGCCATTACGAGCCTCCCACAAGAGATCTTACTGTCTAGTCCCTAATTACTTTAGAACAACACATTTTCCGGCTTGAAAGGCTAGACTCTTCCTAATGCCTAGATGAAATAAAACACTGGATGTGTGACAAGAGGGAAGAAAGGCATCACATGATCTTTATTAATTAAACTTCTAGAATACTGAGGGGCACCTGGGTGGCTCTGTCGGTTAAGGGTCTGCCTTTGGCTCAGGTCATGGTTCCTGGGTCCTGGGATCGAGCCCTGCATTGGGCCCGTGCTCAGCAAGGAACCTGCTTCTCCCTCTCCCTCTGCCTGCGGCTCCTCCTGCTTATGCTCTCCCCTTCTCTCTATCAAATAAATAAGATCTATAAAAATAAAAAAAAATAAAGTTCTAGAATATTGAAAACAGGGATGGTGGAAAGAAAAGCTCTTGAACTGTCCCATAAATACAACCACTTTAATTGAAAATCAATACATTAAAAAATGGGCAAAAGATTTAAAGAGTCATTTCTCCAAAGAAAATAAACAAATGGACAACTAGCATATGAAAAGATGTTTAAAACCATAAGTCATCAGGCAAATACATATCAAGACCATTTCATATGCACCACAATAACTACAATTTTAAAAATGGGAAATGACAAGTGTTTTCCAGGATGTAGAGAAACTGGATCCTTCCCCACCACTGCTGATGGGAATGTAAAATAGTACAGTCATTTTGGAAAACAGTTGGCAGTTCTTCAAACTGAACCACTCCACCTAGGTGTATACCCAGGAGATTTGAAAACGTATGTCCACACAAAAACTTATGTATGAACAGTCACAACAGCATTATTCACAGTAGCCAAAGATGGGAGAAAGTCAAATGTTAAGCAAATTATGAATTGATGAACAAAATGTGGTATATTTCTACAATGGGATGCTATTCTGTTATTAAAAAAAAATAGTAAGCATATCAATGCATCCTATAATGTGGTAAACCTCAAAGACATATTAAGTGAAAGAAGCCAGGCACAGAAGACCACACATTTACATGAAATCACCAGAACAGGAAATTACATCGATTAATCACTACCGGGGGCGGGAGATGGGAGGAATGAGATACTGCTAATAGGTACGGGGTTTCATTATGGGTTGGTGAAAATCCTAAGAAAGTCATAAAATTAGATAGTGGTGATTTTTGCACAATATGCTAAAACCCGAAGAGTTGCACACTTTTTAAAGATGAATTTGATGATACACAAATTATGTATCAATTTCTCAAATAAAAAATGCTAAATGCCAGTTTAGGGGAATCCAAATTGAAATGAGAAAAAACCCCAATCAATAATACATCAATGAGAAGGCATATTACATGAGCAGACATAATGTATCCCAACAAATTCTGATTTGATAAAAAACATGAACATTTCAGTGGTATTACTGAGAAAGGTATCTACCAAGTGATACTTATACGTGAAGCATTATTCTAAATATTCTATACAGACACATTGTATCTAATCTTCCTAGCCCCCTTATGAGGTAGATACTCTTATCCACCCCCATTTTATAAATAAGAAAAGTGAACCCCACAGAGGTTGAGCAATTTGTAATATTATATAGTCTGTGTGTTTTCCTACAAATATATTTTTAAATCCAGTAGAATCTATATGTCAAGCTGATATAATGGTATAGTATGCCGTGTGTGTGGCAGCTAAAGATAAATGAGAGATTATTCTTTCCAAGTGTCTAAAATTCTAAAAATATGAAAATGAGAAAAGCAGCATTTCACTGAAAAAAAACCTAATTTCTCTTTTCTGTTTTACAAACATACATTAATTTTCTTCAAATGGCAATCATTCTTCTCTTAAAAAAGAAAGTTTAATGAATTTCATATAACCTGGCTTCACATAATTGAAATTATCCTTTTTAGCCACTTCCTCTATAATTAAGGGTAATAATAGCCAAAATTCCTAGAAGACAAATTTAGCTTTTATTCTCAAATAATCTAGTGATAGAAGTGTTTATGAATCAAAATTACTTTAAACATCATCTGTTTAATGGAGGATCTTCCACTGAAAGATTAATGGGTAAAGATTACATACCTTGTTTTTAAAATAAACCTCAATTGGCAAAATGAAACCAGCATACCCAGATTCTTCTACTTTGTAAGGTGGATCTTTGCACACTGCAACATTAAAAAGAGAAAACAGGTGAGAGGAGAATAAAAGACAGAAAGACAATCTTTCTTTTGAAAACAAAACAAAACAAAAAAACAAACAAAAAACACCCAGTCTACTATCTAGATCATGCTCCATTCTCACACCCTTTGCTAAATCCCCATGTGCATCTCTGATCTAGCCTTTACTTCCCCAGAATCTACAGTAAAGCAAATCTGTGAGCTATTTGTTAAAATCTTGATGGAGCATCTCATCGCAGTCAACCATGATCATTAATAACTTGACTTCAGTTGTTGTCATCCTGCCCCAAAGCTTTAGGGAAACTGAGGATAGCTCCTACCATCCAAAGCTTGAAAGTTTCCTAACAAAAGTACTATCTATGTCAGGTCTTTGATGTAAATTACTCCATCCTTGCACCCTTCACTTTTTTGGAGATACCCTGATTTCTATGCTCAAAGGTGCCAAGACATCCTCCTTCCTTAGAAAATCCCAAATACGGACTCTTCCAATATTATTGGTGCCCATAATGTCACTATCCCGATCCCCCTCCCCTCCAAAAAAGAATTAGGCAAGACTATTTAGGCCAGTTCTTAGGAAATAAGAGACACCCTCAAGAAGCTAAATATGATTTCATACATGAGACTATCGATTAAATCAAAACCACAAGCCAACTGAAATTATTCTAGTTAAGACTCCATTTGATAGTATCACAAAGAAGTAAAAATGTAGATGCTGCTGGGGCGACTGGGTGGCTCAGAGGTTAAAGCCTCTGCCTTTGGCTCAGGTCATGATCTCAGGGTCCTGGGATCAAGCCCCACATTGGGCTCTCTGCTCAGTAGGGAGCCCGCTTCCCCCTCTCTCTCTGCCTGCCTCTCTACTTGTGATCTCTGTCAAATAAATAAATAAAATCTTAAAAAAAAAAAGTAGATGCTGAACATCAAGGTAACACCGTCCTCTACATGACAGCTCAAGTCCTCTGCAGCAGGGCTCCAGTCTACCTTTCAGCCTTCCTCTTTTGTCACCCATCAATCCTCCTGTGCTACATTCAAGTGCACCAACTCCCCCGCAAATACGCCCAGCATTTCCCAACTTTGACCCGTCCTCCCGTCATTCCTTCCAACACACATTGATACTACTGTTAGTATAATCTCCTAGTTCAAATTCAAATTTCATCACAAATTTTGTGCCCTTTCCAGACAAGAAAGTACTATCATCTCTTCTCCTTTGACCTTCCTAAAGCATTCACTGTCTGAATCAGGGGTTTGACAAACTCAACAGATTTCCCCATTACCATATATTCCGGCATTTCATCTGTAATTTCCTTCCAGTATTCAAGGACAGAAGTGTTTACCTCAGGAAGATACTGAGCATCAAGTTTCGAGGGCTCACGCACACGTGCATGCCAATCCAGGCTCTACCTCAGACTAACCAGGCTACCTGTGGTTACTGAGTTACTCCAATTCTCCGCACATTGGATTTTCCTCCAGTGTAAGGATTCAACAGGATAATGTACATATAAGACACAGCACAGATCCTAGCCCACGTTAAGTTCTCAAAAAGTGACTGAAGTGAGGCAGGAAACCTAATCCATGAAACACCCAAATGTCATATAAACTTTTGAGATGAAAATCTAAAGAAGGAAGCAAGTAAAGCCCTGGATTTTTTTTATAAGACTCAGGTCCATGGCCCCTGGGCTAAGAATTCTCCAGACAGCTTCCATTTTCTTTCCCTTTAAAAAAGAAAACACCATCAGGACCCCTGGGTGGCTCAGTCAGTTAAGTGTCTGACTCTTGGTTTCAGCTCAGGTCATGATCTCAGGCTTGTGAGATAGAGCCCCACATCTGACCCTGCGCTGGGAATGGGGCCTGCTTAAGATTCTCTCTCTCCTTGGGGCACCTGGGTGGCTCAGAGGGTTAAGCCTCTGCCTTCGGCTCGGGTCGTGATCTCAGGGTCCTGGGATCGAGCCCCGCATCGGGCTCTCTGCTCAGCGGGGAGCCTGCTTCTCCCTCCCTCTCTCTGCCTGCCTCTCTGCCTACTTGTGATCTATCTCTGTCAAATAAATAAATAAAATATTTAAAAAAAAAAAAAGATTCTCTCTCTCCCTCTCCTTCTCTCTCTGAGAGAGAGACAGTAACATATACCCAACTGTAAGTATGGCCGTCAAGATGCAAAAAGACTATATATGTGTAGAAATTCAAGGATAAGTTATTTTTCTTGTAGACAATGGTGATGATGTACATGAAAGCTGGTTAGACACTCCGCAAGTAGAACTACGGTTATAAAGAGGTATACTGAAGATGGGATTTTAACACTTGGACATCTCCTTTGACCCACCTCAGGAACCCTTCCCTAAACGTACTTCAGAAGTCAATCAGGAATAAGGAATCTCACCCGACCTTACAAGTGTCTCTAATTTAAGAGGAGGGTGGGGGCACCTGGGTGGCTCAATGGGTTAAGCCTCTGCCTTCGGCTCAGGTCATGGTCTCAGGGTTCTGAGATCCAGCCCCACATCGGGCTCTCTGCTCGGCAGGGAGCCTGCTTCCCCCTCTCTCTCTGCCTGCCTCTGCCTACTTGTGATCTCTCTCTCTTTCTGTCAAACAAATAAATAAAATCTTAAAAAAAAAAAAAGAAAGAAAAAGAAAAACAACTCAGAGTAGCTTCAGTCCTGCATCTACTAACCACCTGCCAACCTGTCATGAATATTCAAATATCCTGGACCCTTGGGAGGGGGTATGCCACCAAAAGTACTGAGCACTCCCCACCTCACGCCAAACAGAAAGCTCGTATTACACCCAAGACATTTCCAGACTGCAAAGCCTCTCTGCCACACAGCAGTTTCAGTGTCCAGGTCGTTGGGGATTAATCCTGCCAATGTCATTTGAAGGAAGTTTATTCTGTGGGCTGCTGTACATGCCAGGTAAGTTATAGCTGTACCTCTATATTCCCTGTTGTTAGATTCATTTTCTCTATACTACATGCAGATTGCTTCTATTATAGGAAACAGCTGTTAGTGAGCACATCTTCTGGTTGAAAGTTTGAGATTTTTTTCCCACCCTCTAAAGGAAATGATTTATTATATATTAATATTCCCTAAAAGTCTGGTTTATAAGAAACTGTTTATCAATGCATGCCTCAATTATTTTTAAATGCAGTATTTTCACAAATAACAATAAACGATGTCTGTAGAGCACCTTGAGTTCTTAATTAGAACTTCTTAAATAGAAGCAAACAATAGAAACATTTTATACACACTAAATATGCCAGAAAATCTGTAGCAATACAAATATAAACTTACAGTCCCAATATGAAGAAAGCCAAATTAGGGCAAGTAGTTTATTTATTCAAGTATCTTATAACCTAAAACATTAACATGAGTTTCTAACCTAGTGCTTAAAAAGAAAACAGGAGTTCAAACCAAGAAACATTTTAGCCAGGGACAATAGATCAGACATAAAGCAATTATTGTTAAACTAATAGGACCACCTCTGGGACCTCCTTGTGTCACTCAGCAACACTTCTTCATTAAGAATCCCTGCTCATCATCACTGGCCACTGGGTCACCTTCACACTATCTAAAGCATCCTAAACCCTTCAACTCATTCTTCCTCTCAATTGTCCAAGAATCAGATAATCTTAAAATCTATGTAATAAAACTTTCAGAAGTTATTAAAGGGACATTCATCTTTGGAATGCCATCAAATATTTTTAGGTGACAGTAAAGTGGGAGGATTAACATCCATTCTTTAAACTATGCAAATTGATTCGACAGAAATCACTGGAAGCTCTCACTCCTGTCAAAATCCAGCCCAGATGTTAGCTCTTTGAGAATGTCTCCCTTGCTCCCCTTCCAAGCTTCTCGTGTTCCACTTATCAGGCTGGTGCATTTATCAGACTGGCAAGATAACACTCACTCACCTCTCAGCCTCCTCCACTAGACTGAGCCCCCTTGAGGTCAGCAACCCCATTATTACTCCTATCTGTAACTGCCGGCACTAACACTGAGCCAAGCAAAGCAACAAATGTTTGTTGAACTGAATTTTTTAAAGAGACACGCCATCCTTCACTGATTTACCATTGCTAAAGAAGTTGCTTTCTGGGAGCCCTCAAATTCTTCTCCAAACTCCCACTTCCTACAATTAACATGAACTTTAAAAAAAAGGCAGGGTGCGGGGGTGGGGGGAGAGGTAATAGGTAGTGTGGTCACAGAGGAGCCTTCTCCTGAAAGCTGACTACCCAACCTGGACCGGTTTTAATCTGACAGTACCAAACTTAGAGAAACTGAGTAAACAAATTGAGCCAGAAGATTCCCATTGTCATTCTGAAACTAACATTATACAGCCAGAAACAACGTCCGTCCCTCTCGTCTCCTTCCACACACTTCTGCTCATGTCTTCCAAGGCTCTAACTAGGAGACATTTCCAAAACGTTCTCTTTCCAAGTAATCACATGTACCATGAAGGTCTACCAGCACACAACACTCATGCCTGAGAGGAACAGCCCAAAGTGTGTGTAAATAATGAGTAATTGTGTTTTGTTCCCTAAAACACCTTCTCAAAAGTAGGCACACTCCCCATATACATATGCAGTACAATGCTAGCTACATACATTGACCATTAATCTACTTAAGTTGAGCAAAAAATGCACACAAGGAAGAAAAAAACATGAAGGGGGGAAAGGTCATATTTCAGCTAATGTGTAGTAAGTTAAAAATCTTATTCCCTTACCTGAGATTTTTAATACTCTTCATTTAGGAGAAAAAGGCTTTAAAACAAAATAAAACAAACACCTGTGCTTGGTACAGAGAAATAAGTGCTCCTTAGATGAATAAATAAAATTTGTGCTATTATTATACAGTTCATATACAAACACAATAAATGAACTTAATTAAAACATTCCATTGTTTAGCACAAAAAAAAAGAAAAGAAAAAGAAAAGAAGCTCATACAAATTCATAATACCCTCTTTAAAGCTTTAAAAAACTATCACTGGGCAATCATTTTTTTCTCTAA